TTACGGATTACCTTTTCAGAAAGGGCAATGATGCAGGCTGTTGAAGAACCCTGCGCTGTAGTAATACTCGAGTGAGCTTTCTCCAACACCTTGACAGGATCAACTGAGTCCCTAGGCTGCTCCTGTACTGCAGTTATCGAGTTTAACATAAGCTCACGAGCAAACTTCCCAGCATCAACACCAACATCTGCCCAACCACCTACACCATCTGCAACACCAATTACATGTTCATCCACACAAATAAAATGAGCATCCTCTCCTCCTGTCTTTTCCTTCGCAGGATGGGGAAGATAGCATGATCCTGAAAGCAGCTTCAAAGTCCTTTCACCTAATAAACCTCTAAAAACGGAAAGAAAAAAAATCACATGTCAAGGTACAGTTAGTGTGGAAGATAAAATAGCTTTATGGGTAAAGGTTTATGATACAGGACAGAGAACAGAGAATGATCTGGAGATCAAAAGAGGACAAAATTAGAAAGAATAAAACTCAACATCAATATAAATAATATTCTAAGTACTCAAAAGGTTCCTAATCATAACTTTACCAGAAAAACCAAAAAGATATTAACGTAGCACAGAGAGAAAAGAAACATGGGCATACAGCTCAACAAACACCCAAATATGCAGTTACCATGGCTAATTAGGATTTGCACTCTACAGCGTAAGACAGTACTTATCAGGGTATAGAACAATAAACTAAATACAGCCAATGATGCATGCAAAATGATGTTGTCAGAGATGGTCCAGCAGATTGCAACATCTTGAATTGTATAGTCCTAATCTAACTAATAACTACTAGATTAAAAGAAAATATACCAATATACAATTAAAAGCTCAAACAATAAATAGTTCTAGAACTAAGAGAAAATAGAATACATACTGGCTTGACAAAATGGTTGAATTTGTAAGCTGTTCATCACGAGAGTTGCTGTCAAAAGCTGGAGAATTAGCAGTCCCAGCAGCATAGCATGCATGAGATGAGGTATGAATATTGCTCAACCCAACCTGCAGAAAGCAGGTGCCCCTCGCACTCACATCATCAATTAAACTGCTCCGAGAGATTAGATAATTATTGGATGGTTGTTTCCTTCTCAAACTCACACGAGCTTTCTGGAAACTCCTATGACTTCTATAGTTGAACACTCCCACGGGTGTTGCAAGCTCTAATGCATTTCCACGGTTTGTGACTAAATCATTGACATAGACATCTCCAAAAACAGATTTAGTACCATAAGCAGCCATAGATTTTCTTTTGGAAATGAATCTTGGTGAAAAGTGCAAGGTATTTGATTTCAGAAACGTAGAATCTGGCAAGGAATGAGACAACCTGCAATCCTTAGTCAATAATTCCTCTCGTCCAAGCAGCAAATTATTTATATAGCACAGTCCACTTCGCTGTCCAGCAATTGCTTTCTGAACACCAAAGTGTATGGTAGTATTAAGCCTCAAAAATGATCCTGTTTGCATCTTAATCCCTTTTGGACAATGCGTTTGATTCTGAAACACTCTCAAACAATGTAGAACCTAGAGTACCATACAGGTTATAAAGTTTCATCACTCTCAATTCATCTACAACCAATTAAAGCTACAAACTTCTCGTCTGGAAATTTATCCGCAGAATTCAGCTCAAACAATCCTGATATGGACAGAAAAATCAATTAGCTACACCAAAGCATATCCGCTGCAGGTTAGATGGAGTGTAGTGAGCTATGCAATACGGTAAATATTTGTAGGCTGACTGTCAACGCAGCCTCAAGAATCTGTCCAAGATAAATTAATCCAATTCTAATGCAGTATCAGCATTGCCAGAAAAAGATAGTAATTGTCCCTCGGTGTCAAACTCATTGGGATGCATATTATGTTCTTTTTTCATGTTTAACGCCATAATTTTCAATTCGCTTGATTAGACAACCAATCGAAACCATCCTACTTCCGAAATACAAAGGCTAATTATAACAGTTAACATTTAAACAATAAGATATTTCAACTGTGATCATCTCCTAGGAATCTCTCGACCATAGCACACCATTTCAAGATAATGCATCAGCTGACAACATGAAACTTGGAGCGAACACAGTAAATCTACCAGTTTCCGGAAACAATCGATTCAGAAAGCGAGTTAAAGATTCGAGATAATATGATAAGCGGGGCGAAGTTGGAGGAAACTGAACCTGCTCGAGATGGGCAAAGAAGTAGCGGCTAATCAAGGAAAATCCATGGCCTGAGAAAGATGTATGCAAGTAATTGGACGAAGATAAACCCTAGGAAGTGAGACATGCGCCAAATCAGCTCCGAAATGAACGTCCAGCGCCAATTCAAAACCTCCTCCAGTTTTCTATGTAGGGTTCACAAATTTTCAAAAAATAAAAAGAAAATAATAAACTAACTAACTAACTAAAACGTGGAGCTAAAAATTGCACTCTTTGGTAAGCTACCATTTTTTATTTTTTATTTTTCATTTCAAATTTTATTAATAAAGTTAAGCTCGACAACTACTTGTATCGCTTTGTTTCTTTCTTTAGAAATACCCTCAAAATCTTATAAATAATGAAAATAATTTTTTTATTTTTTTTTGTTACCGTTTCCAATTTATTTCAAAATATAAATAAAAACATTATTTTATTATTATTGAATTTATGGGTGTTAAAGAGCATGCAATTCTATTTTTTTAAATTATTTTAAATGATAAAACAACAAAAAAAGAAACCCAAACATTATCCAATGGCTCTATAATGTTCGTCTCATTTTAAAATTAAATACAAATATAATGTTCTTTAAACAAAAATAAAATAAAATATTATTTTGGTATTCGCAATTTCAATTTTAGTTTATTTTGGCCCTAATATTTTTAAATAGTTCATTGTAGTTTATTTTCGAACCTAATATTTTTAAATAGTTCATTTTAGTTCTTGTACTCTCAAATTTTGTCTATTTTAGTCTCTGTACTTTTGAAACGTTTTGATTCATATACTTTTAAAAAATAATCATTTTGATAAATTCATTTTATTTTCTCTCTTTTTTTATCACAATTTCAATATGACACTATATTGTATAGACATTTTGAAATGTAGTAGTAACTTTATATTAAAGGGATTTTATTGTATATAGAATTAGTGTTAAATTTTTTCACACTTTTTAAAAGCCAAAACATAACATTTTAAAATTGTAGTGATTCAAATAAATCACTAAATATTATTTTAACTTACAAAAATAATTTTAATTGTAGCCTTTTTTGATTTACTAAAACATGGGGGAATTTTGAATGAATACTTCATTTCATCAAAGCGAGCGTAGCTTAGTAGTAATTGACATACCTCTCCAACCAAAAGGCTGTGAGTTCAATCCTCACCCTGTATCTTGTACTGGAAAAAAGAATACTTCATTTCCATAATTGCAAATGTACATTTTTTATATGTGTCCTTTTTTTTTCTATACATATTATTTAGTACAACATTTGGAAGTGACAAATCGAACTTATTTGACATACATGTCAATTATCATTGAACTATATAAAAATTGATTAATCCGTAATTTTTTTATCATTTGAAAAGAGATTAATTCGTAACTTTATTAATTTTTTTTTTTTTTGAAATTGCAATTGTATTAATTAAGCCACAGGGGCATTCATTTATAAAGAAGGGAGTTCCCCCTTTAGGCCTTTACACAATCCAACCACGACGATGGAAAATTAGAAAACCAAGAAACTGTATATGAAAGAAAAACCCCCCTTTTTGCCAAAACATGTGCTGGGTTGTTACAGAGACGATGAACATGCCCGAAGGAGATCCCCGCAAACGAAGAAGCAAGAGAGCGCACTTCTAACAACCAGTTTAATTCGTCGCCAAGGGTAGGGATTTCATCTTTAATCATCCGAATCGCCATAAGGGAGTCAGATTCCACAGCAATATGATTACGGTTCACGGTTCGAGCGAACTTCATACCTTCCAGAATTCCTTTAATTTCAGCGAGAATAGGAGGTAATGGGTAAGAGAGAAACATAGATTTGGCCGCCACCACAACTCCATCAAAACCACCCAGAAGAAAACCCAGACTTGTAGACGAATCGCGACATGCAGCATCCGAATTTAGCTTCAAAAAACCCTCTCTCGGGGATACCAAGACTGGTTATTGTAAGTTCGTCCACCTACTTGCACTGGGGAAGAAAGAGCAGTCCGAGCTTGCGAATAACTTTGAAAATATTCTCTAACCCAATCACATTTCATTTCAGGGGAAGAGATCTGCTTGCCGTGAACCATCGAATTCCTATCGCACCAGATGGCCATTAATTTCATTTATCAGTTCAAACCAAAATTCAAAAAAACTTAAGTTCGAATTGGCAAGGTACTTAGGTAGAGTGTGGAAGATAATTTTCCAAATCTGTTGGCCTCAACTACACTGGAATAGTGCATGGAAAACACTTTCCGGCTTGGTAGAGCAAAGAGGACAAAAGGGTATCATATCTATACCTTTAGAATGCAAATTAAAAGCTGTTGGAAGATGATTCTTTGCGGCCTTCCATAGAAATAGTTTATTTTTTAGGGAACTGCTAGCTTCCAAATCTGATTCCACTTGGTTGTTCCTGAGTTCTACTGGTTGATGCTGTATTGCATAAGATGCATATAAAGTTTGTATCCACTTTTGACGCTGTAGGATCCTCGTTTATCATAGTGTCATATCCAGGAATCATGAAGATTGCAAGGACTTATAGGCAAAGCTAGGATTAAGTCTCTGTCTTCCTCACAAAAAATATTTGAGATGATAGTTTCATCCCATCCCCCTGCTTGGTCCATTAAATCAGCAACTTTTAGGTTCTGGTGACCAATTCCACCTAAAATGGGAAGGAAATTAAGGGTCTAGGGATCCAAGGATCTGAAAACACTCCAATAGTGGAACCATTGCCTACGCGAAGGCGAAGACCTTTAGTAAGAAGATCTTTACCCCACACGAAACCTTTTCAAAAGTAGGATGACTGATTGGAAATCTCAGCATTGATCACCGATGAGTCTTGAAAGTATTTGGCCCTTAAAACTTTCGAAACTAAAAGGTTTGGGTTGTGGAGGACCCTCCAAACCTATTTCCTCCAAGTCACGAAAGTTTAAGCCTCCCAATTCTTTTGGATAGCACATTTTCTCCCATGACATCCAATGGAGTTTTCGAGTGTCATTTGTTGAGCTCCACCAAAAACGAGCAAGCATGCGAGATATATCATCACAGAAACCCTTTGGATGGTGAAACACACTCATAGCATAGGAGTCAACACTTTTAATGAGGACTTCTTTTCACCCACAGAGAAAAAAGATCTCTTCCACCCTTGCATTACTCCTCAAATCCTATCTTTTAGATAGTTCCAATCTAAGTCTTTTCTTCTAGTGAAAGTTGAAGGTAATCTGAGATAATTTCCAAAATCAGCAACCAAGTTAACATTTAGGATAGATTGGAGATAAGCCTGTCTCTCAGGGTGCACATTGGGAGAGAAAATAACCGCAGATTTCGAGAAGTTAATACACTGACCAGAAGCTCTCCCGTAAGATCCCGGGATTCTTTTAAGCGTAAGGCATTCAGATTCTGATGACTTGAGGAAAATCAAACTATCATCTACAAAAAGGAGACGGGAGATTCTAGGACCTTGAGTAGTAAAATTTAGACTAGTGAGAGAGCCCAACCTATTTGCATTATCAATAATCACTGAGAGCCCCTCTGCCCATAAAAGAAACATATATGGGGACAGTGAATCGCCTTGTCTGATGCCTCTCGATGGAGTGCTAGTGCCCCTTGGGGAGCCATTAAAAAGAATGGAAAAAGTTACAGTGGAGAGACAACGCATAATTTGAGAAATCCAGTGATCATGAAACCCCAACTTCTTCATCACACATCGTAGGTATGACCATTCGACCCGGTCAAAAGCCTTGCTAAGGTCAAGCTTTAGGGCACCCATACCATTCAAACCTGTCTTTGTGCCTCTTATAGAGTGAAGGCACTCATGGCCAATTATAATATTGTCTGTGATAGCTCGATGAGGAACAAAAGCTGACTGGACCTCAGAAACGGCATAACCAATAATTTTCTTAAGTCGATTTGCAAGGGATTTGGAGATAATTTTGTAAGACACGTTACAAAGGCTAATGAGTCTATAGTCCGACACGAACCTAGGATGCTTCACCTTTGGAATGAGAGCAATGTTGGTATGGTTCCAATTCCCGACATCAGCATTATTGTTAAGAATGTTTAGACAAGCTTCCACAGTTTTTGGCCCCACAATATACCAATAATTCTGGTAGAAAAGAGTAGGAAAGCCATCCGCGCCAGGTGACAGGGAACATTTGCCTTACCGCGGCTTCGATTTCCTCTAATCCAAAAGGAGCCAAAAGACAAGAATTCATCTCATGGGTGATTTTCGGTGGTAAAAGATTCAAAACAGCCTCCAAATCCGAAGAAGAAGGGTTGGAAGATGTGAAAATTGATTGAAAATACTGGATGAAAGTACTTTCCACATCCTCCAAATCCTCTGTCCAGCCACCATTGTCCCGATGGATGCCTCTAATGGTATTGCATGCCCTCCGTAGAGATGCCTTTTTGTGGAACCACTTGGTATTGTTGTCCCCCCATTTGAGCCAATTTTCCCGGGAGCGTTGCTTCCAGTAAATTTCTTCCAATTCAAGAAGACCAGCCAGGTCATCTTCAAGAAAGTGAATGAGTGTGAAATCCAGAGGCAAAGGTTGGTTATAAGCTTCTGCAAGAGCCGCTTTTTGAGTTATAATCTGTTTGAATAGGTTCCGAATATTCGTCCTTCCCCAATTTCGAAGGGCCAAAGCTGAGGCATGAAGACTACCTACAAAAGAGAAAGAAGAGTCAGAGGTGGACCATTGTCCATCTCGTGATATAATCTGCTCACAAACTTGATCTTGAGTCCAACATTCTTCGAAATGGAAAGGCTTTGAAGAGGTCCTTGGACGAAGAATTGTTGAAGTGTAAATGTTCAAAGCTATGGCACGGTGATCTGATTTAGACCACTAAAGATGATTAACATTGGCATCAGGTAAAAGAGAGGAGAAAGCCGCATTGCAAAGGAAACGGTCAAGGCATTTCCACAGTTGGTTTCCAGCAAAACGAGTATTGCACCACGTATATTTACTTCCAATGTACCCCACATCCGACAAAGAACAAAAATCCAACACTTGTCTCAAGTTTGAAATATGCGGTGTGTCATAATGGGACACTTGAGAGGCTTCATGGCTCCGCAGAATGGCATTGAAATATCCCCCAATTAATCAAGGGGAAGTGTCCATATTATAAAGTCTTCGGAGTAACTCCCAAGTGATATGACGCTTGCGACCAACCGGGTGACCATAGAAACCAGTACAACGTCAGGATAAGTCCTCGAAAATGATTGAACAGTCAATATGATTCGAGGAGTAAGAGCGAATAGTGACATCAATATTATTCTTCCAAAACAAACAAAGACCCCCACTGAGGCCTGTACCGCAACTGTAAAACAGCCATGAAATTTGAGCGTGAGTTTTAATTTATTGGTCATAGGCTCATTACACTTTGTTTCCATAAGAAAAAGAACATGAGGGTTTTCGTGATATAAAAAATCACAGATAACACGGAAAGTGCGAGGGTCCCCCAACTCCCGAATATTCCAACATATGATTTTCATGGCGCTCGACGAGGTTGCTTAGTAACTTTATTAAATTTGATGTGTCATGACATATTGCGCACTTGAATAATCTTTTTTTTTCCTCAAAAAAAAATTATATATATTTTGCCCATATGAACGCAAATCATGTTACGTTCAAAATATTTATTGAATTAAAGAAAACGAGATAATTTTTTCTAAACAAGGGAATGGCGAGAGAGAATGAAAAGAAAAATCAAACGGTGGACTGAGCATAATTCAATTGAACAATCGAAAAATTCTACTTTGAAACAGATCCAATTTCATAGCTTCAATTTTCTATTAATATAGAAGAGTGAAGAATTGCCGCCATTTCAACAGCCCGGCAAGATCAGCCGCCGCCGCCGCCGGCCGCGGCGCAATTACAAACTCCCCTGTTGTGCGGAAGAAGAGGAAGACGAAAGACCAAGGCCACGAAACACCGATGTGCTCGCCGCCGCAGCACCTATTTGAGCGGCCTTCTGCAGGAGCCCTGTGGCGGACATGGCCGGCTGCGGCGGCGGCGCATATGGGCGGCGCTCTTGGATTCCGGTCCCGAAAAGCGACGACCCATTGTGGGTCGATAGGCAAAGAGACAGAGGTTCAAAAACTAGCGGCGCCGCAATTTCGGCCGGACGATCGGGGCGCGTCATGGCTCGTAATAAGTCGCTAAACGCCGGCGGCTGCGGCGGCTGTAAGCTCAGCGATGCGGCGGAGGAAGCAAACAAGCTAGCCAATACTGTAGCATTGGTGCTGCCGATTGTGGTGGTACTACCGCCGGAGCTGCCAGAAAGGGCAATTCTGATCGGTGGCTCGCCTAACTGCGGCGGGCGATTTTCCGGCGAATCCATGGCTGACAAAGAAGGTAAAAGAGTTGAAACCAAACGTGAACATTAAAATTAAAATAATAAGAAGAAGAATAAATTTTAACATTTTTATCATTTTTTTAATAAGTTTTACTTTTAAATATTTATTATATAAAATCTTATTTTAGTCTTAATTATTAAATTTGTATTAACCATTTAACAAAAATTTAAAATGATTTAAAAAATTGATGGACTATTTCCTACGTATAACTTAAAGAAAAGTTTACACCAATAGCATTAAAATAAATAATAAATATTGAAAAATGTTTACAATTTTACAAAAATAACATTAAAAATCCAAATCAAAGTATAACAACTCAACAAAAATCAAACTTATACTATATTTAAAAAAAAAGTTGCAACATTTTTTAAAATTAGATTAGGAATTTATATGATGTGAAACATCTTACGAGTAAATGATATGTTAATGTCATGTTTATTTTAATAATTTATTGAAAGTCTTTTTTAGTACAAATTTATTAGAATACCTACGACTATTGGCTACAATTTATTGTATCTAAAGTTAAATGTGTTTTAACAGTACTTTATAATTGAAAAAATGCTTTATTTATAAGTTCTTTAACAAAAAGTTTATAATAATAACAAATAAAGTTTATTTATTTATTTATTTTTGTTGGTACTTTTAACTCCGAAGTACTGTTTTCTCACAAACATACCCTAAAACATGTAAGTCAGAAATACTTGAATTATGATTAATGGTCTTTAATCCAATTATTTAAACGTAATTGTGTTACCCTTCAAAAAAAGGAAAAAAAAAAAAGTAAAAGTAATTGTACTGTTTTAATAAAAGAAAAAGAAAACCTAATAGTATTTACCTTTATTCTGAATTGATGATATCGCGTCAGTTGATGGAGGAGGGACTATCGGGGCGGCGGCGGGAGGAGGAGGAGGAGCAGAAGGTGGTGGAGATGAACTACCCGGTGGCTGAACTTTGGGATCGGACTCCAAATTAGGATTCTCCGCCGCCGCCGGCGATGGACTTCCGGCGGCGGTCTCCTTCGTCAACACATCGCAGAAGGCTCTGTGAGTGATGAAGCTATCTCTTCTACAGAAGTGAAAAAATTCCAAACCAATTTCAAAACCCAATAAAAAAAAACAAAAAAATGACAACAAACAAGCAAACCCAGAAACCAATTTTGGAAATTAGACCTTGAAAACACAGTTTCGCAGTCACATTTGTACTCTCTGGTGCCACAAATCTTGAAATGGGCCTTCCAATCGGACTTGACTGCGTATTTCTTCGAACACTTGTCGCATTTCCACTTCTTCTCGCCGTGCTTCCGGCAGAAGTGCTTCTTTATTCCGGTGAGATCGCCGAGCGCCCTCGTCGGGTGGTGGTGAACGCACGACGGCTCCGGGCAGACGTACACCTTCTTCTTCACCTCCTTCCCCGTCCGCTGCCGGAGTTTCCACGGCAGATTGTGACCTCGCCGGTGGAGTTGCAGATTCTGATCCCTTTGAAACCCTTTGTTGCAAATTTCACACACAAATCGATTTGTGGCCAAAAGGGCCTTCGGAGACAGAGCAATCACCTCTGCATCCGGATCTGTTTCACAAAAAAAAATAATAATAATAATAATAATAATAATAAATGAAAAAAATTGAAAATATTTTGAAAAGTCTGCCAAAATTAATTCGGGGGAGTTTCAATTCTTACCTGGCATTCCGGGTAAATTGCGCTTCTTCTTGGCGTTGGATTTGGGCGGCGGAGGTTGGTTCCCGGAGGAGGAGATACTGGCTTCGCCGGAAGCGGTGGAGGAATTATCCAACTCCATAGGCATCTAGTGTCGGAAAATCGATTAGAGTTCTGAGAAGCCTTTCGCCGGCGTCGGCGTCGGCGGCTGGATTGTTTTTCTAGGTTTTTATTTCTTCTTTTTTCCTCATCTACCAGTCAAATCTCATTTATTTCATACCCAAAAGTTGAGAGAACAAACCCATTTAAATGAAGTGGGGGAAGGATCAAATCTAATGGAGAACCAGGAAAACGGAAGCCAGCTTTTGGGGGTCAATAAAATACAGTTTTGTGATCATATAACTTACGAAAACAGAGCAAAAAACCAGAAGATTGGAGATGGAGGACGATAAAGAAGAGAGGATGTTTTGTTGTACTGAGAATTCTGTTCGATTAAAGAAGATGAAGTCTCGAATTGAAGTTCCTTTTGTTGACTTTTCAGGAAAAAGAGATAATAATAACAAAGGACCAATTTTCGAAGAAATAAAAAAGAGGAATTTTGTAATTAATTAATGGTGATTTAAAAGGATGATGTTGGAACTTGGATTGGAACTGAATGTTAGCTATGAGAATACGACACTGAGGTTGAGGAATTACCGTATAGTTGTCGCCTTAATTTATTAGAAGTTCTTCGTTAGGCCTTTTAAAAAGAATTTGTGTATTAGTATTTAGAAAAAACACTGTCACTCAGCTTAAGAATAATTCATATCCTTGCTTACTAAAGTTAAAAGAGGTAATGAATTTCAATCTCCCACTTCAATTTATCTATTAAAAAAAATACTCTAATTTGTTAGTAAAATTTTACTTATTTTGGAGAAAGTAAATTTTACTTATTCATTAATAACTAGACTTTTTTAAATAGTATTTTCATGATTAAGGTTGAATGAACCTCATCGAACTTCTGCATTATCGTTTCCTCTCAATTTATAACGATTTTCATTGGTTAGACTTTGTGCAATTATCAAACCCCACAAGTGAGTAGTGGTACTGAGATATCCATATCCATCAGTTTGAGTTTTTTGGTTGAGTGGTAATTTATTGATTCTTAACATTCACACGTTTAAATATGAACAAATAATAATTTAATGCCATAATTTTTTTCGTACGAAATAATTGAAAATTGAAAATTTTAAAATGCAAACGACCAAATTAAATATAATTAATCATGATCATTTTATATATTTATTTAATGATATATTTATGTGGTCATGATATAGCTATCTTAAAATATTTATTGAATAAAAATTTAAAATATTTATACTCTTAATAAAGATATAGGTTACCAGAACGAGCATAGCTCAGCGATAATTGACATATACCTCCAACCAAGAGGTTGTAAGTTTGAAATCCCTCCCCAACATATTGTTCTCAAAATATATAGCTTTAAAATTGAGTATAAAATTACCAACTATATTATTTCCACTCCTCTAATAATTTTTTAAAAGGTTAAAAAGATAAATTTTTTATCTTAATTTTTTTAGTTCAATAATACAATAGAGTGATAGGTTGACAAAAATATATTTAATTACTTTTGTCGTTTAGTGCCTTGTCGGGATTTGGTTTTGGAATTGCCAAACGGACAGCTCACCGGTTTGGGGGCTTGGAGTTCGGACCGGAAGCTACTTTAAAAGTCAAACAACTTTTGTATTGACTTGAGGACTTTCCCATTCCCTACCCCACCATTTTTCCCCCTTAATTTTTTAACCCTTGTTTATTTCTTCCCTTTTAACTCAAAAGTCCGCTCTTTACCATTATAATAATTAGTCTAATTCAAACATATGTTACACGTATGATATATTTGGTCACATCTTCGATCTTATGTTATGAATTATGTACTCAAAATCTTATAATAATACAACAGTTTTCATCGAGACGATACCACGATACTAAATCTTCAGTGTCACTTGTATTATGTGACTTTCAATATTCTAAAGAGGTTTTGAAGATTTAAATAGATTAAGGAAGATAGATTAAAGGTGAAAACTTTTTCCGTTTTCTTACAGTATTTGGTCTGTGTGGTTAAAAGTGCATTTAAAAATTCTAAAAACAATTAGAAGTTAGAACGGTGGTATTATTACTTTATATAATCATAAACAATACTGGCATGGACTAAAAATACTATTTAGGACTTTTTATAGTGTTATTGGTTTTAAGAACTTATTAAAAATCAGTTATAAATATAATTTTAGAATGAAACTCAAAACTGGTTGCAGAAAAAAAAAATTACTTCAAAGTGCTTGTAACGTAGAGGAAATGTGTGTAGACAAAATTTAGTGAGAGAGTATGTAAAGAAAAGCTAGCAATATAAAATATATGTAGAAAGTAGTTAGGTGATTAAAATTGTGGAAATATATTAGGAGAATGGAATTTCTAAAATAATAAATATAAATATTTAATTCAATTAAATAACAACAAAATATAAAGATAAGAAAAGTCTGGAAATTTTTAGATTGTAAATCCTGTTTATAGGAAGATGTACCCACTGCACTGAGTTATTTGGTATTCTACTCCATAATCATTTAAAAGACCTTGTGTAACAGCTAAAGGAGGGAATGGAATGATCCGAGGATAAGCAGACCCCCCGGGGGGATTGAGGGAGACGGATACAGAAAGGAAGTAGCAATGGTGAGAGATCGGATCGTGAAACCTCGCCTTTGGGCTCCTCTGAAATCCTATGTTCATGTCTTTATCCTAAGGGCTATAGAACTATCTCTGGCAAGCATTAAGCCGTTCAATATCTCAGCTGCTCAAGAAGTTGGAGGCAGAGACCCAACCATACGAAGTTTAAACACGTAAACCATGGGTCCCCCGAATATCCATCATGAGCCGGATATGTGTACTAAAAAGTTTCAAACTTCTTAATGCTATGATTCAATTTTTTCTATGAAGATACGAAAGGGCGAACAAGGGTCCCGTCGGGATTTCCCTTTTTTTTTCTGATTGCAGCAAATATTGAAAAGCTTTCGCTCTACCTGCGCTATCGAGTCACGTTCCTAACTTCCAAAGAATGATTCTATGAATATGGTAGAGGAGCGAAAGTGGCCGGCGGCGGTGTAGAGCTAGTTGGAGCGAAGCTCACACACACCGGCTGATGGAGGGCGGGATCACATTCACTTGCTTGTCGCCCGGCTCCATAGTAACAAAGTGGAAAGTAGGCCCGCCCCCATAACCACACGAGAGGGTAACGAGATTCAACTGGATGGTCACACTTCTTCGATAACGGTTTTTCCCTCAATTTGAAAGCAGGTTCCGTCAGTCCAAAGACGCCTAAGGCAAGCCCAAAATAAGATTTTCCTCTTCCTCACATCGATGTTCTGTTGGACATGGGATGCTGTCCAGTCACATGCAGTGCCTCGGAAAGCACGGACGAGTCACATGCAGGGAAACTTGCACGTGTGGTTATGGTCGGGGACCCCGGTATACTGTACGAATATGTGTAGGTCCCCGTAATTTGAGTGAGATTGTCATGTGGCACATTTTTTTCAATACCTCGTTGAGGAGGGTAAGAAAAAACGTCGATGGGAATTCAGGAGCGGTAAAATGCGTAGAGATCGAAAAGAACACCAACAGCAAAAGCACTCTGCTGGGCTGACACTAACACTAAGACCCTCTTGGCTGCGCTGTGCTTGGATGCACTTGTATTCCACACGCCAGCGATGACATGAAAATAGCCGGAGAAAGCCAGGTGCCGGAGGTAAGCTCTATTCGGCCCGGAGCATTGATTCCATCTTACGAATACCAAATTGCTTGTATGTTCACAATCATAAAATTCAAAACTAAACTCTTTGTTTTTAATGAAAAACTATTTGTGATAAATTCTACTAGAACACACTTTGAGAAGACTGTCATATGCTACCTAAACACCTCCTATTGTTATACCGTCTAAGTTTAACAAGTTCTAGTCATTTCCTCTTGTTTATTATTAAGAATGATTGGTCAAGTTAAAGGAGTAAAATAACATCATAAAATAAAATAGTAAATGTAAAATCTTTAAAAATTCCAACAAAAAAATTACTTTCTTCTGAAAGGATGATGAGTTGGCAAATTGATATAATTGATCTTGGAAAAATTAAAAACCATTTAAAAATTATTTTGAAAGTCCTGATTTCGGGGTAATTTTGATAGGGTGATTAACCGGCGACACATAGGATAAAAATGATAGTGATATGACTCGTGAACTTGCTGGTTAAAAGAAACAGACTTCCAAATTAAAATTAATTGTATTAATTTATTTATAAAAAAACTAATTGTATTAATTAAAATAATACTAGAATTGTTCATATGTTTAATGGCCTTCAAACAAAATTCATATGTTTCTTCAGTTTCCTCTTATGCTCCACCCAGATAAATAGCATGGGAAAAGAATATAAAAAACTTTGGGAAGATAAAAATGTGTAATCAAATTTTTTAAAAATTAATAAAAATAATTTTGTTAGTAAAAAATATATTTTATTCGATAGAATTCATAAACCATATGTCTGAAGAGAAGAAGTTTCAATTACCGCTTAACTATATTTATGTTAGCCTAGGTTCTTTTTTAATACGCATAAGATATTCGTTATTTTGCTTCTGATTTATAAGCAATTATTTATTTATCATGATATTTATTATTTTTTCAAATTCAATGTATCTTTTATGATTTAATATTTAAGCATGATATTTATTTTTGTTTTAGTTCGTATTAATATTTTGAATTATTATATATTTTTTAAATAACATTTCAAATTCTTTTTTTGCGTTGTTTTTAAATTTAAATGGTTTATAAATCAAGGCATTACGTTGCATGGTTCATTTTTATCCATATATGTCCTATCTTTTTAATTATATTCGTCTAATGAACAGTGTTAACTAATTTTTCAAATACAACTCCAATTTTACTAATTTATTGATCCTAATATCACTTTAAAATCAAACATTAATCATTCATAATCACATTTAATTAAAAATCACTCTCACAAAATCACTTATAATTAAATATCTTTTTTTAAAACCACTTATTTTACAATCATTCTCAAACATGTTTGAAGTATATCGATCAATACAACTCATTTGAAAATCACTTTTTAACTTTTTTTTTTTTTGAGAAAGTACTTGTTTACGATACTCCCAACCATAACTTCAATGAATCTAATGAACAAAAGTATTCCTAAAGGAAAATTCAAATCTCTCATGCTAAAAATTATAAAGTAAATCCTTCTAATTGTAGATAAGTATCTCCTTGTTGGACTCTTTGGCCCCTATCCCTATCAGATGGTCTTTTCACCTAAAGAGGGCAAGAATCAATAGACTTTTTGTTGAGTGAAGTACAGCTACATTCATCTTAAGCCCTACTTTGCAAAGATGGGATAAGGATAAGAAAGTCCAAAGGCAAAGATGTTCCTTAAAATCAAATAAATTGCATTGAATTTTGAAAATGACACAAGAAGAAGAGGAAAGTACCCTTTCATTTGGGTCTTCCACTTCCCTTCAATAATTTAAACAACAAGAATCTTCGTACTTATCATCGCCAAAAATCTAACAACTATTTATTTTTTAGAAAAAATGAAAAAATACTATATTTTGTCTTATTTTGTGTTTGTCAAAAAATTAATAGTGATCAACAATTATTCTTTACCGATTAGTAACTAAGAATTGTTCTAATCTAAAATTAAGATAAATAAGTGTTCGATCATAGTTCTAAATATCCGTCGACATTTTCATTGACATGTCCATGTTTCCATGGGTTCGACATCGACATGAGGAGTAAATCGATATTTCCATTATAGTACAAAAAATTCGACAAAATATGAAAAATATCAACAAAATGTCACTAATATATGCATAATATTAATATTAATTATTTTTTAACTTATTTAGAAATATGAAAATGTTTAGTTGTTAATTTAGATATTTTTTACGATTTTTTAATTTCTATAACTTTTACAAAAATATCCATTGACATCAACATTTTATCGATATTTCCATGAAATTGAGACTTCGACATTTTCCTCGACATCGACATTTAAAACCTTATGTTCAACGCAAGATTCGACACTTTTTTGGTGTTTATTTAGTCAATCAATAGATGTCTTCATAGATAGGTGTTTTTTTTTTAGTTCAAATTTTAATTCATAGATTAGTGTTTGGGGGCTAAAAACAAAACATTTGAAAGTTAAACAGACGTATATATATTTTTCCGTAGGGTACTAAATGAAACAAGTATGGACCATTTGCTAACAATTTCATTTTTGTTTTTTATTTTTAGAAAAATATGTTTGTTTTTTTCACATTTTTTAGAAATACGTTTGATTTATTAGTCAAATTAAAAAATATATATATAAAAACAAGTTTTCAAACAAAAATTTTATCTAGTTTCCAAAATTTAGCTTATACTGCGTAAACGTTTTTAAAAAGTAGATAAAATAAATACGAGTGCACCTAGAAGCTGTATTTATAAGCTCAAATTTTAAAAACATAATAAAATGATGAAATAGTTATTGAAGGGAGCCATAGAGATGAATATACAATTTTCAATTTAATTATATTCCTTATAGTTTGTTTCACAAGAGTGAAAATTCTAAAAGAATATATAGTTTTATGTTTTAAGTGTTTTTTAGATTTTAAATTCGAAATTTTAAAATGTAAAATCACATAAGAAAAAATATATAAAAACTTTGATAGATATGTTTATTTCATTTTACAAACTCATTTATTTATTTTTTGTTAGAATTAAAACCTATCAAATATAATATATTATAAATTATATAATATTGTAAAATAATATTTCTTGAAAATTTATAACAAAAATGCTAATATATTAATTAATGTTATTATAGATTGAACTAAATATTTAATTGTAACTACCACTAGTTTACAAATATATTATTAAACGCATAAAAAACTTTTAAATTTATATTTAATTTATAAAGGTCTGTTTCTGAATGATTTTAGAATAAGTGATTTTAACAAAAGAGATTAATGATAATTGATTTTATAAAAAATATTTTTATATAATTATTTTAATGTTTGGTTGCACACTTTTTTTAAACGATTTTTATAGCGTGTTGGAATGATTAAAATATGGAATCTAGAGAGACAATTTGCCAAAAGTGTTAGATAGAGAAAAGTTAGTGAGGACCAAAAAAATTTAGAGAGAAAACAAAAATTCTAGAGAAACAATTGGGAAGAATAAACAGAATTAGGGAGTGATTTTATAAATGAAAAAAAAATTTCAAATTTTAAAGTGAAAATAAGTTGAACTTGAGGTGAAATTTGAAATTTAAAATAATAACTATTTAGAAAACTAATTTCTTATTTTTTATCGAATACTAAAAATCACTTGGGAATCACCTCCTAAGTGATTGACGAGAATCACTTAGAGTGATTTTAAATTTTTCTAAAATAATTTGAGAATGATTGCGAAACATGTCATTTTTAAATAATAGTGATTTTGACATTAGTTAAGTGATTCTAACGCTGCTATAATCATTCACAAACGTGCCCAACATCTGGTACAAAACACATCCAAAAGAGATGAAACGACAAATAAGTATCAAGATTCATGAGGTTCCATCTCATCAATCTTAGCTCGAATTTTATTTATGGATGAATGCTAGTTTGAATTTGTTTGACTCTAATATCATATTAAGATTCATGGGGTTCATCTCAAAACAAGTAACATACGCATGTTATAAAACTTTGTTTGGTCTTTTCTCTTTTCAATTGTGGGATTCTTAGCAATATGAAAACCTTACCAAATGGGTCATTCGATGTATTATTCAACTTTTTTTTTTAATGCAACACCATCACGTGGAGGTGAAGAATCAAATTCGATCTTTTAATCAAAGACATGTGTCTTAACCGACTTGAGCAGACTCTTACTCAGCTTTTATATTTACACATGCTAAACTTTTTATTTATATATATTTTTTATCAAGAATAATTTAGCAAACAAACTAAAAACTTCTTCATACCTTTATAAGTATAAATTACACCCAATTTATATCCTGAAAAAACAAATTTAAATAAACCGATTCAGACATATATTACTTAGGGTCGAATCTCTAAGTACTTAATGTTGAAAAAAAATTTATTTAAAACGAAACCATTACTTTTTACATAAAATTAAACTAATTTATGCATTGAAAAAAGGCATGCAATAATTAAAATAGCAAAAGGATAGGAAAAGTCTAAGGTATCGTACCAAAATATTAAAAGTAGCAAGATATTGGACCACTATAATTTAACATAATGAACTTGAATTCAAATTTTTTAAAAAATATATTTAAAACTAATTTTTTTTAAAGGTTAATACTTAGAAATTTGACATTTTGTTTGTTTGTTTTTTTTAATGATATCTGGGACATAGGGTAGACTGTAGAGCCAGGACCTAGGACTAGGAGCACGGGGTGACTTGAAAACAAAGGTGCATTTTTGTCATTTAAGGCAAATGTCTATTTAGTCTATTAGAAGATTATCGTTAACTAACTAATAATAAGATGATGTGGCAGTTAAAACGACGATTGTATTTTTACTTATTTAACAAAATATATTAATTTATATACATGATTGAATTGATCTCATTATTTATTTATTGAATCCATCAGGAAGTTCACCCCCTCCTGCTATCGCCTACCTCTGATAATCTTCATTGGCCATGATGAGAAAACAAAGGAGAGATGGAGAGCTCCCTAACTCTTCCAATCCATATATGGAATGAGGGAGGAGCTCGAACGAGTATTTCATGCCACATATGTGTTTAGAGTGTTTGCCGCATATGTGTTTAGAGTGTTTTAAATCGATTGTCGAATAAAAGAGCTTCTTCCTTCACTTGAAATCACAAATTGAGAGTTAAAAGTTAATTAAGTAGCGTTGTGATTTTAAAATTTTCAGCATACTAACCTTATCATATATAAAATAATACTAATTCTCATTAAATAAACTAAAAGAAAAGAAAACGAAAATGAAGACTATAGTTTAAAAAACGTATGGATTAAAAAAAATAAAACATTTTAAGAGTCGAAGCACCAAATGAAATAAACATAAAATGTAGGGACTAAAATGAAATTAAAATGAAAGTTATTGGGGCGGCAGAAGAACTAGTTATTCTTCTACGCCGGAGGCAGTTGCTACGAGTTAAGTTAACCTGGTTAAATTCACATTAGAAGATAAAACCTTACTTCTTGATCGGCTCTTTGGAGTCAGAGAACTTCGCCGGTTGCAGAAGCTGGTCACCGGTCATTCACCAACACAGCACGCCCTAAACCCTTCAGGATGGACCTGGACGACCTAGACGAACCGAGCCAGGTACCATCACGAACCTCCAGATTCGCACCGAAGACCTCTAAATTCAAGCCGAAGCCGAAATCGGAAGTAGTTCCGAAGCCGGAGCCCCAACAGCCGCCGACGAAACCGGAACCTGAACCTCCCGCTTCGAAGCCGGAACCAGAACTTGTGGAGCCGGATGCTGCAACTGGGGAGAAAAAGGAAGAAGGAGAAGAAGTTGAAGTGAAACCAAAAGTTGAATCCTCGCTTCCTAATGGCGTTGATAAAATGGACGTTGAAACTAAGTCTGAAGCTGAAGAGGAGACAATGGTGGATGATCCGATGGAAGAAGATGTTTCTGAAGATATGGTGGTTCGCGAAATCGACGTTCTGTTCACTCCTTCAGCTGACATCAATTCGAAGGTTAGTATTCCTTGTATTTGTACTGTAATCTCTGTACCTTTCGTTTCGTTCTTTGCATTTTGTCCGTTTTGAAATTTGAACGTGATTTTCATCTGTTTTCAGTTGTATGTATTGCAATATCCGCTGAGACCATGCTGGAGGCCCTATGAATTTGAGGGGCGATGTGAGGAGGTGAGTATTTTCTTAATTTCATTTTTTTCTGGAAGAATGTGAACTATACTCTTCTAGCTTTAACAGGTGAGAGTTAAACCTAGCAGTGGAGAAGTGGAAGTTGATCTGAATGTTGATATTGAATCCAATAACTATGACAGTAAAGCTGAGGGCAGTTTGCAAATGAAGAAGCAGGTATCTTCTCTTATGGTTCTATTGGTCGAGAGTCTTTAAATTGCCGTTTAAGTTTACGTGGTATGGGCGGAACAGGAAAACAATCAGAATTTTGGTATTTGGGAATTTATTAGTTTACTGGTAGTTCATTTGTATGATTAACCTTGCAGATTGCATTGGATTTAACTTGAAAAACGCGTTGCATTCGTTACGATTTTTCCAAAGATAAAAAAGGTGCTAGTTTTATTAGAGACTGAATTCGTTAAAGCTTCTAGTTGTGTGCACCTAAATATCCTTCTTTTTTCCCGTCGCATTAGTCTTGAATTTTTTCTCGCTTGGTGAACTATATTTCATCTGGTAAAGAGTAATTTATTTCATGTACTTCAAGTGAGGATTGAGTTATTGGTGCTTTATTTTAGTGGATACCAACAACAGCTTGTTTTTGGTTCAGACTTTGACATCTTCGTGGCAACCACCTCTAGCAACTACCTATGCTGTTGGGCTGCTTATGGGTAATAAGGTTGCTTATATATTTCACATCTTCTGAACTTCACTCTTCACTATCTTTTTGACATTGAATCTACTGTAGTTGATTGACTCTTTGTTTGTTTGTTGTTCTAGTACTTGGTCTATTCTCATTGACACAGTTCAATTATCTCTTTATCTATTCCATTATCCATGACATCAGGAGAAATGTATCATTTGTTTTGTTTGTTTATGTTTTTGAGTTTACACTCTTACAGAGAAACACAATTTTTCATTGATATTTGAAAAGTTTCAAAGCGTTAACTCCATCTTGGTTGCAAACTAAAGCCCCCAAAACAAGAAAATTAATTACAAACACCATACTCCCCACGCTGAAGCCAAACCCTACAAAAATGCTTTCCTATAAGAATTAATATCAAAAGAGGAACAATTACAAAACACATCAAACATTGCATAACACACCAAGAAACCACATTTAGCTTAACAGTATCGCATCTATCCACCTAAGGACTAAGGAGCTTGTTTGCCTTCAAATAAATGTTGATTCCTTTCCAATTAAATACCCCTACAAAATTGACTTGGCTATATATATCCATGGAATTTTTGCGTTCTTCTAAAGCTCTGACTGCAACGAAGTTGGAAAATATTTTTTTCAACCTTCCAATCGAACACCCACAAACATCCAAAGACTTGCAGCAACCATTCCAAAATATTCCTACAATAGGAGCAATGAGAAAACAAATTCTGAAGATCCTCCCCCGCATTTAGGCACAACATGCAGCAGCTCGGATCTAAAGACCAAAATGGACATCTTATAATTTTATCTACCATATTTAGAATTTCCAAGAAGACCAACTAAGATAGATATTTACCTTTCTTGGACTCTTTGATTTTCATGAAGCGTAGGAAGGGAAGGTGCCTGCTACTAACTAGCTGTCTGACAAGTGATTTTATTGAGAATATTCCCGACTTACCCAATTTCTAGCTTCTCTTTAGCTTTAATGCTGCACTTCACATGTTAGGTAATTTACACTTCAATTGTAGATGGAGATTGCAAGGTGCCTAAAAGAAATGCTTTCATTTGGAGGAATTAATTTAAGCTCATTTAGATTCAACCACTGTTTAAATAACTATTAGGGACCTCAGGAAGATATTAACAGAATCTCATTTGTGCATTTGGAACGTAGAATGAGGTTAGTTAATTTTGTAATTTGAAGTCTTCTGTAGTTTATCATTGATACTTCAAGGTACCTAAGCTCTCAGATAAGCCCTTGTCTGACATTAATCTTTGTATCACCTGCCAGATTTGTGACAAATTTTGGAGAGAATATTTAGGATGACACCGTGGTAACCTAATTACTTCGTGGCTTCTTCCATTGTTGTTTTTTGATGAACATCTCTTCTTCTCTTTGAGTCAAATGTTGTGTTCAAGAATGAAAAGTTATGTTTGCATGTGACTTGGCTCTATTTATGTAAAAGTATACTTTTGGTAGAGTACACAAAATAAATTTGTATTTTGTATGGTTGAATTAAGAATATTGAATCTGTTAGGCCTCATATAGTGATGACCTACAGTAGGAAGGGGAAGGGTAAAAAGGGACATTAGGACCGTAACGGTCAGGAGAGAGAAGAATAATAATACCTAGCCATGTGGTTAAATAGGGAGGAGGATTGGTTAGGAGGGGTGTCTAGAATTCAGTGCATTGTGCATAGAAGGAGGATAGGAGAGATTCCCCACCCTCTCGAATAGGTGGGTTAGTGCTGTACTAGCCTACGGGCTTTCTTATTTTCAATCGCACAGTAGAATTCCAAAGTGAGGGATACCTCACAGCATCCTACACGATCTTATACTATTGCACCTGTAATTGATTGCATGGGAAACCTTGATTTTGTACTTTGTGAAGTTGGTTTTTTCTTCTTACTAGTTAGAATGAGAACGTAAGAAGATTTAAGTTCATATGTATTCCTCTGATTTATATCTTAAATGCCAAAATATTTGCCTGATTCTGGTATAAAGACCTGTTTGGTTCAATCTTTTTTAGAAAAATGAATAACTATTGCTAGTGTGTCTATGGGTTATATCGCAGTTACACCTGAATCCCATACATGCAGTTGTGCAACTTCGACCATCAATTGAACACCTTAATTCTGGTGGCCCGAAAAGGAAAAATATTGTTAGAGGTGATCCAGATGTTAAACCAGAAGAGTCTATAGATGTTAACTCTGCAGTTGCATCAAGGAAGCAGGTTATTTTCATTATATCTTTCTATTATATAATAAAACACTCCTGAAACATACTGAAAACCATTTTCGGAAGTCTGCTGGTTCTGATTATTTGGAGACTGTCAAGTGATCAAAATTATCATTAATTCACAATATATCTTTATTTGGCTTTAGACATTTTTTTTTGGGATAGGAAACAGAAACCAAAGTGCTATTAGGGGTGTCAGTTATGGTTATGGTTACAGAGGATATTGAAGCGTGTTAAAATTTGCTAAAACCGATGCTCAACATAGCTGAGAGAAAATAACAAGAAATGCATTCAGTCAAGGTCTATGCTAGCTCAATATTTGAAAGGAAGGTCCAAAGTATGGTT